AAAAAAAAAAAGGCAGTCCGGCAATCTGATTCCTGGGCCTCTGACTAAACAGATGGAAAGCAGGGGCTCGCACAAGCAGTTGCACACCCGCTTTTGTTGTTGTTGTTCTTGTTATTGTTTTGAGACAGAGTCTCGTTCTGTCGCCCAGGCAGTGGCACAATCTCGGCTCACTGCAAACTCTGCCTCCCAGGTTCAAGCAATGCTCCTGCCTCAGCATCCGCAGTAGCTGGGATTACAGGCACGTGCCACCACACCCGGCTAACTTTTGTATTTTTAGTAGAGATGGGATTTCACCATGTTGGCCAGGCTGGTCTCAAACTTCTGCTCTCAGGTGATCTGCCTGCCTCGGACTCCCAAAGTGCTGGGATTACAGGCGTGAGCCACCGAATTGTTCACTTTATTGATGGATTGATTGATTGAGACAAGGTCTCGCTCTGTCACCCAGGCTGGAGTGCAGTGGCGCGATCTCAGCTCGCTGCAACCTCCGCCTCCCAGGTTCAAATGATTCTCCTGCCTCAGCCTCCTGAATAACTGGGACTACAGGCCACCACACCCACCTAATTTTTATATTTTCAGAAGAGATGAGATTTTGCCATGTTGCCCAGGCTGGTCTCAAACCAATGAGTTCAGGTGATCTGTCTGCCTGGGCCTCCCGAAGTGCTGGGACTACAGGTGTGAGGACTTCATCTGGCCAAATAAACCATTTTAAAGTGGACAACTCTGGCCGGGCAGGGTGGCTCACACCTGTAATCCCAGCACTTTGAGAGGCCAAGGTGGGAGGACTGCTTGAGTCCAGGAGTTGGAGACCAGCCTGGGCAACATAGTGAGACTCCCATTTCTACAAAAAATTTAAACATTAGTTAGGTGTGGTGACACACACCTGTGCCCCCAGTTACTCAGGAGGCTGAAGTGGGAGGATCACTTGGGCCTGGAAGATTGAGGCTGCCGTGAGCCGTGTTGGCACCACTGCCTTCCAGCCTGGGCGACAGAGAGAGACTCTGTCTACCAACTTAAATAAATTAAATAAAATAAAAAGCATGGTTAGACTGGGTGTGGTGGCTCATGCCTGGAGTGCTGGATTACAAGCATTGAGGACGCGCCCCGCGGTTCCCACTATATTAACTGATGCTTTTTGTTTTGTTTGTTTTTGTTTTGAGGGGACAGGTCTTATTCTGTCGCCCAGGGCTGGGAGTGTAGCAGTGGGGCAATCTTGTTTACTGTCAAACCTCTGCTCCGGCATCCAGCCAATCCTCATCACCGTCATCCTCCCAGGAAGGCTGGGATTAAGGCGGCCCGGCCGCCATGCCTGGCTAATATTTTGTTGTTTATGGTTTTTGAGAACAGTCTCGCTCTGTCACCCAGGGCTGGAAACAGTGGCGCAATCTTGAGCTTACTCGCCAAGCTCTGCTCCACAGGTTTCAAGCGATTCTCTCCTCCCGCCTCAGCCCCCCTGAGTAGCTAGAGGGATTACAGGTGGCCCACCACCAGACACCTGGCTAAATTTTTGTATTTTAGATAAAGGTGGGAATTTCAGCCATGTTGGTCCAGGCTGGTCTCAAATTCCCGACCTCGGAATCCACCTGCCTCAGCCTCCACAAAGTATGGGGATTACCAGCATAAGCCACGCCGCCACAGCCCTTTTTTTTTTGAGATCGGAGTCTTCTCTTGACCCTGCGCCCAGGCTGGAGTGCCAGTGGCGCAGATTTATCTCGGCTTCACTGCAACCTCTGCTCCCGGGGTTCACACCATTCTCTTCTCAGCCTCCGGAGTAGCTTGGAACTCAGGCGCCACCACCGACGCCTGGGGGAATTCTTCCATATTTTAGTAAAGACGGGGGTTTCACCGTGTTAGCCCAGGATGGTTTTTCAATCTCCTGACCTCGTGGATCTGCCCGCCTCAGCCTCCCCAAAGTGCCTGGGATTTACAGGCATGGAGCCACCCATGCCTGGCCAACTTTTGTATTTTTTTTTTTTTTTTTTTTTTTTTTTGAGAACGGATCTCGCTTTGTAGCCAGGCTAGGAGTGCAGTGGCCGGGGGGGGGATCTCAGCTCACTGCAAGCTCCGCCTCTCCGGTTTCACAGCCATTCTCACTCTCCCCGGCCTCCGAGCCCTCCCGAGTAGCTGGGACTACAGGCGCCCTGCCGCACC